GTAGTCCAACTGTTTAGATTACGCATAATGTGAGAACGAGATTCTAGTCCAACTGTATAGATTATACATGATGTGAGAACGAGATTGTAGTCTAACTGTATAGATTACACATGATGTGTGAACGATATTTTAGTCCAACTGTATAGATTACACATGATGTGTGAACGATATTGTAGTCCAACTGTTTAGATTACGCATAATGTGAGAACGAGATTCTAGTCCAACTGTATAGATTATACATGATGTGAGAACGAGATTGTAGTCCAATTGTTTAGATTACACATGATGTGCGAACGCGATTCTAGTCCAACTGTATAAATTACACATGATGTGAGAACGAGATTCTAGTCTAATTGTATAGATTACACATGATGTGAGAACGAGATTTTAGTCCAACTGTGTAGATTACACATCATGTGGGGAAGTGATCCAATATTCGCAAGTATAGCTCATAAATAATGTGTGGAGAAGAGTTTTATTCCATTTGAAGATTATACACGATTTAGGAATATCTTTAATCCGCAAGCAGGTTATACATAATTTAAGGAATTCTTAATCTATCAGCAGATCATATATGATATGGAAAAAAGGTTTTGTCCACTACCAAGTTATAATATATAACGTAGAGATGTGGTTTTAATCCACAGGTGGGTTATACATTACATTTTGTAAAACCTAAGATTACTAATTTATATATGATTCGTGGAGTTTCTAAATTACCATTGAGTAAAATATGATATGGAGAAGTGATTTGAATCCAAATGGTGGTTATACATGATTTAGGAGGTGTTTTAGTCCACTAGTAGGTTATAAAGAATGCAGGTAATAGTTTTTAATTCATCAGTAGGTTATGTGTATGTTGAGAGATTTTATAAATTAGTAGTAAGTTTACTTTATGTTATACGTAATACATAATATCTACGTGAAAACGACCCTTTTTATGTTCAAACTCATAAGGAAAACTAAATTGTGTGCATATCTTAGACATTTGACACTTTGGAGTCAAGTTTTTCTTTTACACTTTCATTAATACAGTATTAGCTTTGTTCTGACTTCGCCTCCACATCAAGCAATTAAAATGAACTGCGTTTGAGCTTATCAGTGTTTCCGTGTAAGCAAGATAGGCCATGGAGCTTCGTACAAAGTAAGTATTTGATTTTCTAATTGAAACAAGAATTACAGAGACTAAAGAAGACCCCAATGCACGTGATAATTCTTATAAAAATTTAGTTTTGGTCGTTTTGAAACTCTGATTGCTGAAACCCCCCCTCAACATAAATAACACACTTCCCTGTCCCACAAACATTTACTTTCAGTGCATCTTACGTCTGAGAAGCTGGAAAAATAACTGAGAAAATGTAACTTTCATGAAAGATTAGTACCGAAGCTTTGTTTAAGACATGCCTGTTTGCTATTATTTTCTACTACTTAAGCCACTAATTCCACAATTTTAGAAAGAGAACACATTTTTACATTTAATAAACACATAAATTTATACATCAATTTATAAAACCAGTTCGTTTTTTGTCTTCAACATTATACACTCAAGTATTTGGAACCAGGAATCGTTTTACTAGGTTTTCTCTGTTCATCCGGATAAACAAAAAAACTAAACAATTATTACGTGCGATGATATTAAACAGAGATGGTTCATAGATAAATCCGAGGAAAACTTAAATGGATCTATGGTATTAATATTATAAGCAGATGGCGCAAGTGAAGGTTGCCACTAAAATTATTGCGATAGATACAATGAAGAATCAGAAAAATATCCAGATTTTTTTTTTCACAGTCATTTCAACTTCTATGTCTGGCTTATTTTCAAGTGTAAATTTTTTGTGCAATGGCTTTGACTAGATTTTATTGGAACTGATGGATGCTTAACAGATTAGTTGATAAAATATTGAGGGTATAAAGTTGCTCATAAAATGCTTTTTCTTCTTGGATGCCAAAAGAAAAGAAACAATGGAGAGATAGTATATCCACAACAAACGTAAACCAGGGATGATATGGACTAGTGGATTTCAATCTGTGTTCCGTGAAACCCCATGTTTTCGCGAAGGGTCATCAGAAGTTCCATACAAAGAAAAAGGGTAATGGCGTTTGTTTGTTTTTAATAATTGAGAGTTAACCTGTCATGAATCTAATAGAGTTTTAAAAATCATAAGTATTTTTGTATATTTATTTACAATTTTATATTAACAATACTGTTACGAACTTGGTTACTTTCACCTAGACTAGATTTTAAAGGTGGGTTTAGGGTTAGGGGTCCGTGACGGAAGGAATGAAATAAGGGTTCCATGGCTTCATAAAGTTTGAAAACCACTAATCTAGACTTACTGTAACTTAGGTGTATTTGCGTTAAAGAACATAAACAAAGTTAGCTAAGCCTAACATACCTAACTTGTTGGTAGTTCATGTAGTATTAAATCTTCATAACTGTAACAGTATTGTTAACTAACAATTGGTCCAGTTATCAACGCTATTTTCAAGTTTTGTACAACTCGACTTTCAAGATCTACATATCTACATGAGCCGATGTTTCCATTTATGAACGTTATATTTT